TCAATCAGGAAGCATTATTTTAACTTTCAGATAAGACAGACAATCAACAAAGCGACGTGAAGGGATATCAGTCCTTCAGGAGAAACGATCGCTTATCGATCTTAGCTCAGATCGATTCCAAGTTAATCAAAGAGTTTAAATTATTGCAACCATAGGACACGACATTTATTGATGTAACATTGGCTTCTAGTGTTGGAGGCTGCAGATGACTATTGTTGTACAGCAACTGCTACAATTGTTGGACATTGAATCTACATAAAGTACCAACAAACAGTTCTCACCTGAGTTGTTTAGAAAAACAAGAAACAACAATAACCTCAAAGTCTGCTATTCAGTAGAGAAAAATTGCTCAGCCAGAATACATTCAATTCTCCTGAGGTAATGCTAAACTCTGTTTGAAGATGTAAGTGGACAAACAAACGTGGCCAAGCAACAGTTTCAGGTCAGAAAAGAATCACATAAATGATTCGCTGAATCACTAGAAAAGAATGCCGTAAAGTTGTGAAGTGTTCTGTTGAATCTGGTCGATTGTTTGTTTGGTCGTCATGTGGGTTCCACGGCCCCATCTGGTCGATTGTTTCTTTGGTCGTCATGTGGGTTCCACGGCGCCATTGTGGGAAAACAAAAAAAAAAGACTCACTGCCTTCCCAACAAGCATGTTCTAGGAGTCCACTAATTAGGGGTATCCTTCGAAGTCGGGGTGCATATGAGAGAACAGGAGCCAAGAATCTGCATAGAAATAAACCAAATCAGGATGTGCACGCAACATTCAGAACAAGACTACAGTCTAAAAGTGGACGAACAACCAGAAGTTTCTGCTTGAAATCCAGCAGCGACTCGCTGCAGCCCAGGGTCGGTGTTCGAAACTGGGCAGTTTCCGGGGTTCACCAAGCCTCTAGGAAATGGGTACTAGTGTTGACACTCTGGGGTAAATGGAGGAACGTCGCTGTAGCTTCAGAATTACGTGCGAAAGACGACACAGGCGGACAATTTTTATCAGCTATCCGTACTATTGGCAGAGCACTTATGGTTTATAACCGTGTGCAAGGACGCTGGTTCACATCTCCCGACTTTACCCTTACCTTTTTTACAGTCGGTGAACTTAAGAAATAAGAAGAAGATTTTATCTTCTCACATGAGATTCCAGGCTTTCTAAATAATCTGCCAGGCCCTAATCTAATTAAGCACAGTTGTTGTCAATCAATTGTCGACTCGCACACGAAGAGAAGGACAACCGGTCACACATCCCATTACACATTGCTATAGAGGATTGACTTCATAGCTCCGGATATTATCCGCATGGCTCGGTCTTTCTCTGCAGAACTGCTAGCCACCAGCCAACAGCATCGCGCAAAGCACGAATCCGTAGCTCTAGTGATGATCACTGTGGGTCTCTGTAAACATCACACGTGTGAACTGAACGACACTGCACCGCCCTGAAACGAAACCACGACCTTTAGACTTCAACGGTTTCAGTAATTCGTCAGTGAGACACCCCCCCCCCCATCCCCCCCCCACACGTTTCATGCTTGTGTATTGTATCTGTATTATTACTAAACAGTGAAGACTAGAACATTCGCTGTGTTTCTGCAGACAGAAGGTGGTCTACAGAACTCGACAAGACAGCCGACTAAAGGATTATTCCCCACGTGACCTCACAACTTGCACACTAACAGAAAGCGACCTAAGATCCACCAAGATAACTTTCTCGGGTCACAAATTCCACTACACGAGAGATCCTCGGTTCGGCAAACATGTCCTGACTCGAGCCGGGGTACCACAGGACTAAGTCTCAGATCTCGCTCACAACTCGCGCGGTTTTCTTTGTTGTCAAGATGGCGTCGGTTGCTAGCTATGGCGGCGTATCCCGGCGACCAAGACGACGCCAGGTCAGAGCCTGCAAGTGTGTAAGGTTATGTGTCTGTGTATTTACTATTTATAAACCACAAAAGATCTGGGTTATTTAATTTGTAATAATTTGTTTTCCTACATTGTCCAAATGTTTAGATTGTTACTGAATCCAATATAATTGTTTTGTGTGCAGGTGAGTTTCAGTTTTGTATTTCTTGCTTTTCATTTGAGTTGTCAATATTTTGTTCTGTGACCAGTAGTTGTTGTGTATTCATATGTGTATGTGTGTGTTCGCGTGTGTGCATATGTGTGTGCGTGCGTGTGTATGTGAGCATTTCTGTCTGTCTGGACTTTAGTGACTTGCATTTCTTTTTTTTTCCTTGTGTTTATTCATCTCTCTCTCTCTCTCTCTCTCTCTCTCTGTCTCTCTGTCTGTCTCTCTCTCTCTCTCTCTCTGTCTCTCTCTCTCTCTCTCTCTCTGTCTCTCTGTCTGTCTGTCTCTCTCTCTCTTTTTCCAGCTATATATATACATACATATCCATTTTGCGTGTCTTTTACCGTGTCTCTCCTCCCTGTATTCTTCTTCCAGTTGTATACCTCCCTCCATTCTGTCTTTATTTCTGTTTCCAATTGTCTCCGGTCTGTCCCCCTGTGTCCGATTCTTGTTCTGTGTCTCTCTTCTTCCATTATTTTTTACACATAAACCTGGCCCGAGCTGAGAGCCCGTCAGGCTGACAGTCAGACAACTGTACACAGGAGAGAAAAAAACTCACTTGTATCCAAGGAGGAAGTGAACCAGGCACCAACAGGAACCCAAGAACATCATAGAACGAGGACAAGTGTTCCAACAAACCAAGCGATACAACATTATTCTACGACAGTGGTTGTGAATCTATCTCGTGTCTTTGTTGGAGCAAAGTGCTTCAGCTGAGGGCATTTCTGGGCACACGGTCTGTGCCTTATGTCAATTTAAAGATTTATTTAAGTACACAGCAGCCTTGACAAAAAGGTTTTTTTGTTTTTGTTTCCGTCAATAAAGCAACTTGACAAGTATCTGCACAAATTGCGATAGAGGAGAAAATTGGAGCTCTCAAACGGTTGAGAATTACGCGTTGCGGGATCTTTGGTAGCATATTTGTGACTTGTTTTTTTTTTAATTTGAATTCCCCGGGCACTGGCCTGTTTCTGGGGACTTGATTATGTAACCAGCATTTACTTGTGTTTGGCTTTGACGGTGGTTCAACACCAGCCAATCACTTGTCTTCTTCTTCTTCTTCTTCTTCTTCTTCTTCTTCTTCTTCTTCTTCTTCTTCTTCTTCTTCTTCTTCTTCTTCTTCTTCTTCTTCTTCTTCTTCTTCTTCTTCTTCTTCTTCTTCTTCTTCTTCTTCTTCTTCTTCTTCTTCTTCTTCTTCTTCTTCTTCTTCTTCTTCTTCTTCTTCTTTCTTCTTCTTCTTCTTCTTCTTCTTTTTTTTTTTCTTCTTCTTCTCTTCTTCTTCTTCTTCTTCTTCTTCTTCTCTTCTTCTTCTTCTTCTTCTTCTTCTTCTTCTTCTTCTTCTTCTTCTTCTTCTTCTTCTTCTTCTTCTTCTTTCTTCTTCTTCTTCTTCTTCTTCTTCTTTCTTCTTCTTCTTCTTCTTCTTCTTCTTCTTCTTTCTTCTTCTTCTTCTTCTTTTTTCTTTTCTTCTTCTTCTTCTTCTTCTTCTTCTTCTTCTTCTTCTTTCTTCTTCTTTCTTCTTCTTCTTCTTCTTCTTCTTCTTCTTCTTCTTCTTTCTTCTTCTTCTTCTTCTTCTTCTTCTTCTTCTTCTTCTTCTTCTTCTTCTTCTTCTTCTTCTTCTTCTTCTTCTTCTTCTTCTTCTTCTTCTTCTTCTTCTTCTTCTTCTTCTTCTTCTTCTTCTTCTTCTTCTTCTTCTTCTTCTTCTTCTTCTTCTTCTTCTTCTTCTTCTTCTTCTTCTTCTTCTTCTTCTTCTTCTGTGCATTCATGGGCTTTAACTTCTGTGGAAGTTCTGACTGTTCGTCAGCTTCTAGACCTTAGTCTTTTTCCCAGAAATTGGGTTTTGCGTCTACAGACTGTTTACAGATGTCTTATCTACATGCAGACTGTTTACAGATGTCTTATCTGCATGCAGACTGTTTACAGATGTCTTATCTGCATGCAGACTGTTTACAGATGTCTTATCTGCATGCAGACTGTTTACAGATGTCTTATCTGCATGCAGACTGTTTACAGATGTCTTATCTGCATGCAGACGGTTTACAGATGTCTTATCTGCATGCAGACTGTTTACAGATGTCTTATCTGCATGCAGACTCTTTACAGATGTCTTATCTGCATGCAGACTGTTGGCTACTTAGCTCTCTGTTAGAAGTACACTGAATCTGAAGGAAAATGCATGATTGGTGGCCTTGTACGACAAGCTTATCAGCAGGGGCAGTGGATCTATTCCCCCTCCTCTTGGCCCCTGCCAGTAGGGCGGCGGGACGCTCACGTGGAGCATTGTTAGTTCAATTACAAATTAATTTGGATGATAACACCCTGTTTTCTGGGTAGTAAGATTGGACACCCTAGTGTATTTTTGCGCACGATTCTTCGGACTCAGTCTTGAGCTACAAGTAGAAGGGAGAACTTATGGGTTACTACCCTTGTGCTATGATGTTGGTCCGTTGTTGAAACCTCAACCTATATCGGATATGTGATTGAATGCAGGATGTTTCCACTGGCTGGTTAGTTTATTGAATGGTTGGCCAGATAACACATGAAACCCAAAATGAAGAGTAAGATGGTATGTTAAGCAAGGGATGGGGTTAACCGGGAAGACCCCACAAGCACGAAGTACTGCTTCTGCTTAAATATTCTGTTCCCCTTGATAGATCAGTACAGCCATTTCCCCTCTCATTTGTGTGTGTGTGTGTGTGTGTGTGTGTGGGGGGGTGGGTGGGTGTGTGAGTGTATGTGTGTGTGTGTGTTTGTTTGTTTTTCAATGTAGTATCCCATCTAAGAATGTTAACTCTTTTGGTCTAATATTTGTTATTTTGATCTTTGTGGCAGAAACCGTTGCACCTGGGCAGATTCTACCAACAGGGAAGCACGTCATCGTTGACAACCCTGCTCTCTTGCCAACCTAGACAACAGACAGGATCACGTGATCCTAACCATGGCCAGACCCGGAGACCAGAGAATCCTCAAGGACAACCGCTCCAGCTACAACCTGATCGCTCACGATCATCATGTGCCACAGTCGCCGTTGTTCGGGCCCTCGCCACGCCGAGCGCAGAACTACCGCCCTCAGGTAGATGAAGAGGTGCAGGCAGGGGGAGACATAGAGCAGTACTACCCGGACAACAGGGATCATCGGGATCATGGGGATCAGATAGATCACAGGGATCAGATGGATCATAGGGATCAGCTGGGTCATAGGGATCAGATGGGTCATGGGGATCATATGGGTCATAGGGATCGTCCGGACCATGAGGATCAAGAAAGTAGAAATAAGTGGGACAGAAACAATCAGGTAAAGTTTATGATTTGAAATTCTTCTACCCATATTCATCTGCATCTTCCACCATTTTACTTTCTCCTTTTACTCATGGTATCCTCCCCCTCTGCTGCTGCTGCTGCTACTGCTACTGCTGGTGATGCTACTGCTACTACTACTACTGTGTGTGTGTTGTCCATCAAGATAATAATGATCCCTTTTTGTCATCAAGTATGAGCACGAAGATGACTGATGCGGGCCCGAAAAGTCCTTGGACAGTGAGGACAGGGAATGAGTGTTGTGCCAGGGAGGAGATCTCCAGCAGTCGCCTTTCTGTCCATCCTTTCTTAATCAGTCTTGCTGTTCTGTTTGCTTCACATGTAGCCGCGCCCTTGTGTAGAGCTGCACGCCATGCATTTCGGTTTTGAGAGGCAGCCTCCCAGTTGGTGTCATTCATCTCAAGTGCTTTGAGTGAAGACTTCAAGGTGTCCTTAAAGAGTTTCTTTTGCCCGCTTTGGGAACGTTTCCCATTTTGTAGCTCACCATAGAAGAGTTTTTTCGGGAGCCTGTGATCTTGCATGCGTGCCACATGACTAGCCCAACGAATTTGATACTGCATCAGTAGAGTGTGGATGCTGGGCATGGCTGCTTTCTCAAGGACTACGGTATCAGGTACTTTGTCTTGCCATCTGATCTGCACTAGTTTTCTAAGTCAGACTGTGAAAATGATTTAATTTTCTGTCCTGGAGCTGGTACACAGTCCATGTTTCACATGCATACAGCAGTGTAGTTAATACAACTGCTCTGTATACTATAGGTTTTGTCTGCAGGGTTATGCCACTTCTCTTCCAAACATTTGTGTACAATCTGCCAAAGTCAACGCTAGCCCTAGAGATCCTTGCATTTACTTCGTCATCAATTGTGGCACTCTGTGAAAGCGTGCTGCCTAGATAAGTAAAGTTCCTGCTACTACTACTACTGCTACTACTACTACTACTACTACTACTACTACTACTACTACTACTACTACTACTACTACTACTACTACTACTACTACTACTACTACTACTACTACTACTACTACTACTACTACTACTGTTACTGCTACTACTGCTACTGCTACTGCTGCTCTTGCTGGTGCTTCTATTGCTACTACTGCTAATACTACTACTACTACTGCTGCTGCTGCTGCTGCTACTGCTGCTGCTGCTGCTATTGCTGCTGCTGTTACTGCTACAACTGCTGCTACTGCAGGTGCTGGTACTGCTGCTGTTACTGTTGCTGCTGCTGCTGATACTGCTGTTACTGCTAATGCTACTAGTATTTCTATACTACTACTTTTGCTACGACTATTACTGTTATTATCATCAGCATCATCGTCACTAGTTGAAACGACACAGACCTCCAGAGCGAGAAGCAAACAGCCTAACACAACTAAGAAACATAGTGTACTCTCGAGAGTTCTCTAATTACGGCATCTGCCGCCTACTAATCATCCAACTATATCGGAGGAGAAGCATTTCTAAGACTGTGTGTGGAAGAAACGTAGCTACCATGGAAAAGCTCGCGGACAGCCTGGCTCCGATCTCATGACATCACGTGACCAGTAATAAGTCCACATTCCACACATGCCACTGATCTCCAAGATCTACACACACTCTACGATATTAATTATTGAAGGGCGAAATTAAAGGGACTAGCTCAGGCAGTGTGGATCGGGGTCGGGGGGGGGGGGTCAGTGTGGATCGGGGTCAGTGCAAGGTGTGAAGAATTCCAATATCCCGACTGTACGCTGCAAGAAAAACAGCGAGACAAAAGATCGGCGGGTCGTGTTTGGAATTGTAGATTGTAGAAGATCAAACGATATTATTGTTTCACTGAGTTGTGTGGGGACTACAGGTGGGTATGTATCTGCCTGTCTGACTGTGTTTAGTTTAGTTAAACTATAATTAACCCTCAGCCGCTGGAGTTGTTTCCTTCCTCGTTGTGACAAATAGTTCGAAACCTAATCATGAAATCGAGTTGGTTATAGTGTTCAGAAATGTTTAGTTAGTTTGCTATAACAGCGTGACAGGCGAAGGAAGGAAACTAGATATCGAACCCCATATGGAAGTCACTTTTCTTAACGACTTTATGAGTCCATCAGCACATATGCTTTGCATTCTTGAGAGTGCAGTTAGATGGTGACTGGCACGCTTGCCTACCGATTCAGTTGTTATAAATGTGAATCCCATAGAGTATAAAATCGCTAACGAGAAAATGTTCTATGACTCAAAGGCGGACTCAGTGAAACTTCAATCAGCGACGTGTGGCCTCTAGTCTATAAGACGTTGGAGACAACTATATGTACCCAAAAGCTGATGTAGCGAAAACTGTTTCTTGTCCACTTTACCATGCTTAGGTTTGCATTAAGTGCTTAGTCTCCATCTGTACATCACCCAAGGAGAATCTCAGCACAGTGCACGAAAACCGTGGCACTGATGGACACCCGAATATAAAGATAGTCCGACATTTACACAGTGACTTTGATTTTATTACTGCAAAAGCAAGAACGCCGTCCACAAAACACAGCCTGGCATCCAAATAGGCACCATTCATATATGATCGAGCCAAATGTCAATGCCGACCGGTCAGAGGACGACAAACAATCCGTAATTTATGTTGCTTGTCTAGTGAAGGTTACGTATGCAGCATGCAGCGAAGACAAACAATAAATTAAGTTTTAAACTCAGAAAAAGTGCTACTAAGACAGTTAGATCTGTGAGACAAGTTATGCGGATGAAGATTTTTCTTGTTCTTTAGATGCTGTTCACGATTCAAAACTGGCGTGGAAAAGATTAAAGATGCGGCCAAGATCCAGTCCCTTTCATAATGATAAAACAATTGCCAAAGTCATAGAACGAATACTCGAAGACTGATATCTGACTGTGAGGTTGATGGCTGATTTATATGATGTTGAATTTAAAAATCAGTGAACATCGTAAGCTAATCTCACCAATAAAACTGTGTCAAGAATATTTTTTTACAATTTCAAAGCAAAATGTTATTTTCGTCTTTGTTTCACGTTGCATATGTAACAATGCAACCTTCCCTAACTTAATAAAATGGCGTTTACTAGTCATCTGCTACCCCAAACATGCTTTGTCTTGCAAACGGCGTTATGTTCTTGGCCATAATCAAATCTTTATCTTGTTTGACGGTGTCTCTACCAGAATGGCACATGTTTGAACAGTCTATCACGGTGTCTCTACCAGAATGGCTCATCTTTGAACAGTGCAGGAAGGTGTGTCTCTACCAGAATGGCTCATGTTATTCTCAATGGGGAATTTAACCCTGCAGATTTTGTTTTTTATCACGTTGATGATAACGATGATGATGTTGAAGACGATGGTTACAATGGCGGCTTTGCAATAGTAATAATGATAAACGACGATGATGATTAAAACGATGATGATTAAGAATTACGATAGTAATTTGAGTATTGGGTGCCTCATTATTAAATAGACCAATATTACTATGGTTACCACCAGGTTGCTTGGAGACAAGAACCAGACCAACCAATCAGCAAGGGCTACGATTCTGCAAACAACATGATCAGACACGAACGCCACGTCCCGGCTTCCCCCCTCTACCGACCCGACCAGGGCCACGGCACGGCTCGTGATGATCCCAGATACGGCTCAGCACACGGCGGCGGGCGGGACTATGAGGTTGATTATGTGCTTTTTTGTCTATCTATCTATCTATCTATCTATCTATCTATCTATCTATCTATCTATCTATCTATCTATCTATCTATCTATCTATCTATCTATCTATCTATCTATCTATCTATCTATCTATCTATCTATCTATCTATCTATCTATCTATCTATCTATCTATCTATCTATCTATCTGTCTGTCTGTCTGTCTGTCTGTCTGTCTGTCTGTCTGTCTGTCTGTCTGTCTGTCTGTCTGTCTGTCTATCTATCTATCTATCTATCTATCTATCTATCTATCTATCTATCTATCTATCTATCTATCTATCTATCTATCTATCTATCTATCTATCTATCTATCTATCTATCTATCTATCTGTCTGTCTGTCTGTCTGTCTGTCTGTCTGTCTGTCTGTCTGTCTGTCTGTCTGTCTGTCTGTCTGTCTGTCTGTCTGTCTGTCTGTCTGTCTGTCTGTCTGTCTGTCTGTCTGTCTGTCTGTCTGTCTGTCTGTCTGTCTGTCTGTCTGTCTGTCTGTCTGTCTGTCTGTCTGTCTGTCTGTCTGTCTGTCTGTCTATATATCTATATATCTGTCTGTCTGTCTGTCTGTCTGTCTGTCTCAACCTGGCCCAGTCTGTATTTATCACCTTTCACAGTATAAAGCAGAACGCTGATCAATAAATACAAGGACAAAATTAATCGTTACTGTAATACACGACCACTATTGCCTGTTTGAGTATCACAAATGTCAGATCCGAACTTGTACCACCAGGTTGCTCGGCCCAAAGACCCACCCACACCTGACTACAACACCACCCAGCTTCACATCCCAGAGAGCAACAGCGATGACGACACCAAACTGCGGCTGGGGGCACTCAGGGGCAGCCAGGAGAATCTCAGGGAGGTATGTGTGTGTGATTTGTATTGTTATAATGATTGAAGCCGTAGTAGTTTTAGCAGCGGCAGTAGTAACAGTGCCAACGAAAACAGAAGCAGTAGTTCATTCATTCAGTAGCATGTCCCTCGCGGAACCTCGCTGCCATAACAACCCTCCGGAAAACCTTCCTATCCTGAGCAAGATGTCCTGCGTCTGATACACCCATCTGGAGATCATCTGCCACATCCTGCACCCATCTTCTCCTTGGCCTTCCTCTTCCTCTCTTCCCAGGCATATACCCCTCCATTATTGTTCTCTTTAGACTTCCATGACGTTTCAAGTGACCAAAATATTTCAATTTTCTTTGTTTTATTGTCTTTACTAGCCAACCCTCTTCAATATTCAGCTCTTGAAGTATGGATGCATTTGTTCTTTTCTTTACCCAAGATATTCTTAGAACCTGTCTGTAACATTTATATTCAAATGCATTTATGCGCTGTTCCGCTTGTTTAGTAAGTGTCCAGGTCTCACAGGCGTAGTAGTAGCAATAGTAATAATAATTGTAGTAGTAGCAGAAGCAGCAGCAGTAGTTTAACGATAGTTAGTGTCGGTGGTGGTAATATTCCTAATAGTGTGATTGTGGTAGTGATGGTGTTGGTGGTGGTGTTAGCAGCAGTAGTAGTAGTATAGTGGTAGTGGTCGTTGTGATGGTGGTGGTGTTGGTGGTGTTAGCAGCAGCAGTAGTAGTATAGTGGTAGAGGTTGTTGTGATGGTGGTGTTGTTAGCAGCAGCAGTAGTAGTATAGTGGTAGTGGTCGCTGTGATGGTGGTGGTGTTGGTGGTGTTAGTAGCAGCAGTAGTAGTATAGTGGTAGTGGTCGTTGTGATGGTGGTGGTGTTGGTGGTGTTAGTAGCAGCAGTAGTAGTATAGTGGTAGTGGTCGTAGTGGTTTTGATGGTGTTGGTGGTGGCGTTAGTAGCAGCAGTAGTAGTATAGTTATAGAGGTCGTTGTGACGGAGGTAGTAGTATAGTTATAGAGGTCGTTGTGGCGGAGGTAGTAGTATAGTGGTAGAGATGATTGTGGTAGTGATGGTAATTATTCGTTAGTGCTACAAAAGATGTTCTAAAAGTTCCTAACCGCAGTCAGCCTGTGCTTAGCGCAAGCTACTGCAGCACTTATTGTTTAGGTGTGCCCTCTTTTGAGGCCAGGATCTGTTAAGGAAGCAGGCACAACTTGGGGATAACCCAAATGGGTTTAGATGTGACGCTAGAGAGGTGAGTGTGACCATGTCAGAGATGTATCGCTGTCAGACCAAGACTACGTCTCAATTATGTCACTCTGTACCCAAACGAGGTGTTGAACATGCGTACAATTGATATCCTTTAACAACTGAGACATTCTAATCCATGTCAGCTATCTATAGTCAAGTGAAATAACGAACACGTTTCCTCAACAGTACAGGCCCAACAATGTCACGTGGGCCGGCTATCAGGATCCACCGGTGGTCAATCGAGGACCTCCCGAAACTGACCGACCCAGCTACGGGGGCGAGAGGGTCCACAGGTAAACATCATCTTCTAAATATGTGGAACATTTTCTTTGTCATAGTTGTGTGGGCATATCGTTATAGCTCTGTGTTTGAAATTCGTTAAAGGTTAAAGTTCATTGCATCGAATGTATCCCATAAGGCTCGGATTTTCTCAGCAGAACGGCTTGCAGACACAACGCACAACGCACAAACTCCCTACACATTCAGATAGGTGTGCATCCTTGAGAACTTTAGGCGAGGAGAGGAGTGCGTCAAAGTACCACCTGAACAGTCAGACTTGTGTAGAGTCATAATCACACTGAGCCGGGAATGCAGAGACTGGCCAGCAGGTGCCACAGAGGTGGAAATTCAGCAATTAATTCAAGATAATGCTCGCTCAGGGGATTTTATCATTTACACAGACGTTTCAGTCTCAAGAGGCAAAAGAAGTGCTTGGGGCTTCTTAGCAAAAGTTAATGGTCGACGTTTGGTGCAGGAGAGCCTAGCATATCATACCACAACATCCAGCTTAAGAATCGAGGCGGAGGCGGTCACTGCAGCTTTCCGCTGGCTAGAGAACACGACACACACACACACACATATCGTGATTGTAACTGATTCAGAAAGCATGCTGAGGAAGATCAGAACAGGTATGCTTCGTGCAGAGTGGCATGCTTCGCTGCGGAAGGCACGAGTGAGGAGTATTGTCTGGGTTTTTTCACCAGGGTGCGCTGGTGTTTTGGGAAATGGACAGGCGGGCGGACTGGCTGGCTCTGCACAACTTGGTGGAATACTGATACATGATAAGGCAGACGTGGTCAGGGTCTTGTGTGAGAGCGTGTACAGTTTGGCGTAGCAGATGGATCACCACAGTCTGGTGAAATTGATGCAGGGGGGAGGGACAAGAGGTTCTGGCAGACGCTCGAGGCTCAAAGGTAAGGCAAGATGGACGTTTAATCAGAATGCTACTGGCACCATTAGTATTGGAACTCTTCGCTGGCTGCTGAAGATGGGGACGGAGCGCTTATAGGAATGCCCCGAGTTATGTGATGTTGGTTCTTGAATCAAATCAAATCAAATCAAGCACGAACTCCCTAGCTCCGGTGATGATAGCTAGGGATCTCCGTAAACATTTCACTAGCGGACCGAACGACACAGCCTGTAACAAACCTATGACCTTGAGATATGGAGGCAATCGGTTTAACCACTTCACCACAACCCACCCCCTTTTTTTCTCTTCCTCTAACCCCCCCCTGCCCCCCCCCTGCCCCCCCCCCCCTCCCCTGCCCCGCACCCACCCTTTTCCAACCGTTTTGTGAACTTCCTCATAATTGTATGTATTCGTCAAGTGTTTGCTTCGTCATGAATATGTGTGTTCTTACTGTGTGTACTTGGTCAAGGTTATTTGTGTACTTCATCATTGTTGTGAGGTATTGCTTGTTTGTGTGAATTTCCGTCAAATGTTTGTGTGTAATTCATGTGTGTACTTCGCCATGGTTATACAGTTTACACACACATTAACCAAGACTATGAGATACGTGTACATCCTTGTTTCAGAAGGGACCTTACACCACGCTGGGATATTACAGCACGTTGAGACATTACAGCACGTTGAGACATTACAGCACGTTGGGACATTACAGCACGTTGAGACATTACAGCACGTTGAGACATTACAGCACGTTGAGACATTACACCACGCTGGGATATTACAGCACGTTGAGACATTACAGCACGTTGAGACATTACAGCACGTTGGGACATTATAGCACGTTGGGACATTATAGCACGCTGGGACATTACAGCAGGCTGGGACATTGCAGCACGTTGGGACATTACAGCACCCTGGGACATGACATTACAGCACGTTGGGGCATTACAGCACGTTGGGACATTATAGCACGCTGGGACATTACAGCACGCTCGGACATTACAGCACGCTGGGACATTATAGCACGTTGGGACATTACAGCACGTTGGGACATTACAGCACGTTGGGACATGACATTACAGCACGTTGGGACATTACAGCACGCTGGGACATGACATTACAGCACGCTGGGACATGACATTACAGCACGTTGGGACATGACATTACAGCACGCTGGGACATGACATTACAGCACGCTGGGACATGACATTACATCACGCTAAAACATGATATTACAGCACGCTGGGACATGACATTACAGCACGCTGGGACATGACATAACAGCACGCTGACAACACTAAAGCTGCCCTATGATAGTCCATCAACGACAGAGATCGTTTAACAACGTGAGACCTAGTCCGGGGAGGGGAGGGGGCAATTTGGTTGGTAATTTAGGACAATTTGAAAATGGACTCGTCCAGAGTTTGGGTTACAGTTATTAACAGTTTAAGCACATGGTATCAAGGGGGGTTGAATGTGAGAGCTCATGTCCTTTTTGCCCAGTTTAACTAATCAGTTCATGTAACCAACTATACAAGTTATTTCGTGAATTATTTATTGAAAACCTCCATTGTTGTAATAGTTGTATTTATGTTGACCCCTGAATGATTGTCCTGCAAACACCACTGACCAATCATCATTTCCTTCAGAGACAATCCCTGGACCTCACGGACTAAAGCAGCAGACGGCGTGGTTGACCCCAGGGTCGGAGGTCAGCATGACGGCATTGGATTGATCGGCAGCAGGGTAAGTCTCTCACTTCCGTCCTAGCCACTTCCTGTCTCAGACAAACAAGAGCACCCCAACACTCACATATCCTACATACCTGAACGAACAAACTTTATTTTAAAAGGGTTACAAATTGGGCACGCAGGCCCATCTGATATTCGGCCCTTCCAAGCACTTATTTTTCAGAGTACCAATACCTGTTATCAATAATGCATGTTTTGGATACAATAATGAAATATACATTATGGAATAATGCATACACACATCATGTGAACCCAATCTTACACACTAAAACACACACACACACACACACACACATACTCTAACATTCTCATACATGCACACTCATATACAGACATACGTAATACTTACATACACGCATCTACGTACATAAACAATCATAAAACATACACACATACATACATAGACATACATGCCCACACACATTCCATACATACACACCTACACATGCATAGACACACATACAATCACATATACAAATACCCACATACGCCCACAAGCACACATAATACACTCACATGCATAAATACACGAACATGCATGCACGCACGCACATACACACAAACATATATATATATATATACACCTGCATACATACATACATACATGCATACATACATGCAGACATACCTGAGACTAACAAGAGCACTCACCCGTGGAGGTGTATTGATGGGCACACTGGCAACAAAACCAGCCATCTTTCTCTGTCTTCCGTGTGATAACATAGACCAATAACTAAGACCTTCCATTTCTTGGTGTTGTCATTCCATCTTCTTCTTTGCCTGTCTTCTTGGATGCATGCATTTGTTGTCTTGATGTGACATGACTTATCTGCTGATGTACAACAGTTTGAGCTGTTTCACCAGATAGTCAGTGACTGTTTTCCTTTTTTTTAGCATGTTTGTTGCAATGTATCACATAGTTGGCTTTCAGGACACACTGATCCGAGTCGTTCTAACTCTTGTGATTGGTTTTTACTCCAAGATCGTGTACCATCTGGTCATAACAATTCATTTCGCTTCTGTCTTGTTTGCTAGAAATGTTTTTGAGTCAAGCAAAGAATCTATCTACTTAAACTCATATCAAACATGTGATATCAAAATTTGCAACCCCTGCCTCAGTATCTGATGAAAAGCTCAGTTGATCTCCTCTATTCAACCCAGAATGGTGGCGCCCTCCTCTTCATCCGATTCCCTGTTGGACAAGGGGAGAACATCCAGGTGGCGTCACAGGCATTTCTCAAATCCAAAACCCACGACAACGGAGGACGTTTTCTGGGTCTGGCCAAAAAGGTAAGATGTTCGGCTGAACCACTGCTTCTGGTGTGTAAATCTCTCCCTGTCAGTGTAAATCTTCCCTGTCAGTGTAAATCTCCCCCTGTCAGTGTAAATCTCCCCCTGTCAGTGTAAACATCTCCCTGTCAGTGTAAATCTCTCCCTGTCAGTGTAAATCTCTCCCTGTCAGTGTAAATCTCCCCCTGTCAGTGTAAATCTCCCCCTGTCAGTGTAAACATCTCCCTTTCAGTGTAAATCTCCCCCTGTCAGTGTAAACATCTCCCTGTCAGTGTAAATCTCCCCCTGTCAGTGTAAATCTCCCCCTGTCAGTGTAAATCTCCCCCTGTCAGTGTAAACATCTCCCTGTCAGTGTAAACATCTCCCTGTCAGTGTAAATCTCTCCCTGTCAGTGTAAACATCTCCCTGTCAGTGTAAATTTCTCCCTGTCAGTGTAAATCTCTCCCTGTCAGTGTAAACATCTCCCTATAAGTGTAAATTTCTCCCTGTCAGTGTCAATCTCTCCCTGTCAGTGTAAACATCTCCCTGTCAGTGTAAACATCTCCCTGTCAGTGTAAATTTCTCCCTGTCAGTGTAAATCTCTCCCTGTCAGCGTATACATCTCCCTGTCAGTGTAAATCTCTCGTCAGTGTAAATCTCTCTCTGTCAGTGTAAATCTCTCCCTGTCAGTGTAAATCTCTCACTGTCAGTGTAAATCTCTTCCTGTCAGTGTAAATCTCTCCCTCTCAGTGTAAATCTTTACATGTCAGTGTAAACCCCTACTTGTCAGTGTGACGTGACGCGTGGTTTTAAATGTTTATGTTGTTGAGTAGGGATCTTCCTTTCAACACATTCTCTCCACTAGATACACCGAACTAAAATCTGAGCTATGTTGCTCTCAGACAAAGTCCTGGATATCCAAGAAAACAGCCATATTGGCTCGTTAAGTATATTAACATTAGCTGAACTTGGTACCCACAAGAGAAGGCAAGGAATTTTAGATGTCTATCATACTTAATGAATTATTAGACAGGGCAAGTGATTCCTCCGTCATCTACCTTCTCCCGGTGTTATTATTAATAATTAAAGAATTATTATATTATTTGAGCCCCCACCAAATGGTAATCTATCTTAACAGTTTCATTAAACATGTAAGAACAGACATTTGGAATTTAACAAACTATGTAGTTTAAAACTTGACATACAGCTTTATTTACTACAATGAAATTACCAGTTTGTTGATTTACACAAACAGTGACTGGTTAATGAAAGTGATACGCTTCAGCGAGACAAACAGCTCGGGGTTTAGAGTGGTATGATAATGATGATAAAAGGTTAACATAAAGGGGTTAACTCAACTTATAAGCCTCTGACAGCCGTGAGGAACTGTCAAGCTTGTCCAACTCTTCCTTGCCTGTTGTCTGCCTGTTTCAGCTTATTCTCCACTTCATCCCCACCTCGTTCTCCACCTCGTTCTCCACCTTGTTCTCCACTTCGTCCCCAGCTGGCCGAGTCTAACACAATGTAGGCTACTTCATGGACTGATCGTCACATGGGCGCTGTAATCATGGAAACAAAACACATACGTGTAGTATCTTGACTTACACTAAGAATACATGTATCAATTAATACAACATATAATAATAGGATATAGTAATAAGATATAGCCCATCACTCCTCCTCATATTCCACATCCTCTCCAGTCTAGTCTGAAGGTCTTTTGTCTTACATGGGCGTCACATATCCTGCCTTCCCTCAAATGCTATGTCATGATAGTTGACTTTCTAAGTCTGTTGTCCGTCTTCACTCAGACTTCGAGTTGGCTGACATAGATATTACATGACCACGTGGAGCAGGTTATGTGCTGAAAACTCAAACATTATATATGTGCACGCTGTCCTGAATATTATCTTTCAGTGACAGTAAATACTGTACACCCATCATTCTCCCCCTGGGGTTATAAAATCCCCTGTTTAGGTGAACACATTAAGTGAGCACATGGTGGGCACACAAAACGTAGCAGCATCCCTGCACATATTTGGGCATCATTTCCCACAGTCCCAACTCATATTTTGGCTGATCGTGAAAACAATATAATTACATTTCATTATAGCAAATGTCATTGTTCACATCTTATTTTATACACATGAAAACATACAATGAAAAACATGTGACACAAACATACAAGAAATAGGAATAGTTTAGCAGTTCCTTAACTTGAGATACTGAATACTCACAGAACTATTTCAAGCAGAATGTGCAGATAAATTAGGAAAAGGTAGTATAGACTAAGCTTAACTCCCTAACCTAAGTATACAAGATTAAAATTAATATTTTCTCTCACCTGGGAACTTCCCATTAATCGCCAAACCAGAGTACGACAGTAAAATATACCTTTACGTCGACCTGTTTGTTTGCCGGCAGGCTGCGATTAATGACGGGAATTCCACAGGCTCGCAGTATAAGTATTAATCTATTGTCCAAATTAAACTCCTCCCTTTCCTTAGTTTTTACCCAACCCTCAAGATGATGGCTTAAGCTCCTCCTCCGAAGTACCTATCAACTCACATTAGCTAACAAGTGGCCTGTCAGTCAATTATGGACTGACATCCCTAGAGCAAACATTCTTAAGTGCCCCAATCTAGTTTACCCCGAATTACACTGACGTGTTAAACTTTAAACTTCTCCTCGCCTCAATGTCTACAGTCCGCGCAATTCCCCTGTTCAAAAGGGCCCCACTCAGGCTGTGTTAGGAGATAACATTATGACACTGGCGTGAGAATCAAACCTACACCCCTAGTCTCATCAAAAGTCTGTTCAAAGCAGTCTGGTCAGGAGATAACATTTATGACATGGGCATGTGAAAGGGAATTCTCTAGCCCCGGTGTAATTGTGTAACATTACCCAAGACTGAGTCGCTTTGTCTGGACTAAGGACTGGAAACAATTTAAATCCGTGCGGTTTAAAGCAATATTAGGATAAAGCGCAGAGTAAATATAATTCTGTCTCTTTAGAACCAGAAGAACTTATTACAAGTACTAACTTCTGGAATCACTGAGATCGTCTCGTGACAGTCAGTATAACTCTCTACCTGCCGGTATAAATCTCTGTTGCTGGAGCAAATTTACAGCCAATAAGGATTGGAGAAGCTGAACTGAGTGTGCACTCCAAAACCTCACATGTCCAGCCAGCACCATTGAGTGGACATAAAGGTACAAACTCTGTGTGTCAGTTTTGGTCTCTTCATTGCCCAATGTGTACTAGGCCCGTGGCCTTGATCTGTAGCTGGCCTTGGTTGAAAGCTCTGAGAGACGGCAAGACAGAAGGCTACTAGTCTATCCCCAAGCTTCTGCAGCATGTTTTATCTTGGGCGTATTGGTGTTACCTTTTCTTTTGGAGTAAACAAGGCAGGTGGAGAAAAGTAACGAGTGCAGAGGCCACACAAGGACTGCAAAACTGCCCAGGTTTTGTACATAAGATAAAACTTTTGTCCCGAAGAGTTCTGCAGGATATGAGTAACATATTGGTTATGAAAGTGTACGAGACAGGAGAGCTGGCCAGAGAAAGTTTATTTTTAGACGGACCGTGATGAGAGCGACGTTCTGCAAAGGACCTACTATTCAATGACTGTCTAGAAAGAGGAAAAGGTAGCAGTAGCAAACAAATTCATTAGATAGGCAAATCTAACTATTGAACTATTTGAAAATGTAACAAAAACATAGATAATCATCGGGGAAACTGTTGAGACTTGGCTGTTGTTCACTGTTTGCTTCGCATGAAGTCTTTCACCACTAACAACTTTTTCTATGGATCCAACTTCAGGTCTACGACTTCGGCTACGAGAAGGGTCCGACAGAAGCTATCGGGGTCTTCCACTTCCCCAGCATTGAGAAGGCGTTCCTCTTCTTCCAGATGGACCCTATCATCAGACAGCCGGACTTCCCTCCGCCCTACGGCCATGCCGAGATGTGGATCGTCTCAAACGCCTACCTGCCAGACAACTTACAATGTTAGTAACTTTAGTCTTTGGCTTCTCTATATCATTATTGCCATTGATGTTATAGTTTTTCTTTTTATCTTCATCACTGTTACCGGGCTGAAGTGACGTGTGTGTGTGTGTGTGTGTGTGTGTGTGTGTGTGTGTGTGTGTGTGTGAGTGTGTGTGTGTGAGTGTGTGTGTGTGTGTGTGTGTGTGTGTGAGAGTGTGTGTGTGTGTGGGTGGGTGTGTGGGTGGGTGTGTGGGTGGGTGTGTGGGTGGGTGTGTGTGTGTGTGTGGGTGGGTGGGCGGGCGGGCGGGCGGGCGTGCGTGCGTGCGTGCGTGTGTGTGTGTGTGTGTTTTGTGTGTGTGTGTGTGTGTGTTTGTGTGTGTGTGTGTGTGTGTGTGGAAACCAACAGCTTGAATAATTTATTCCCTAGCGAATACCAGTGTTATCTTGTCGGGCACACACGACGGTTCTTTTTCGGTGGTCCTTTTTCTTACTACCCAGGGCCAATTCAAGTTCACAGCCGTGCCGTTTGACGTCTTGTGTTCAAATCTACAACAGGGAGACTATGCTGTAATTGCGGAGTAAAAGTTTTGAAATGCAGTTGACACTGAGAAATGCAAAGAGAACTCAGAAGATAGAATGGCTGCATGTAGATCAGTCTTAGAACCATTAAACATCAACTTATACAACATATTAAAAAAGAAACTTTAGAAGATCCTTACAACTGTCTTTCCCAACACCCCCCCCCCACCCCCCCACCCCCCACTCCTCCCCTCCCCACAACCCTGAACCTAACCCTAACAAAAAAAATATTTAAAATAATTTCTTAAAAAAACAGAAAGAACAACAAAAAAATCACTTCACTCTGAAAAGATATTAGGATCCTAAATTGTTATATATTTCTAGTATTGTTGCTAAGTGTAATCCGTTCTAATGTATTTCTCTTTACTTGATATTGTCCCCACCTCTAGGTGTCAATCATTACCTACTCAGATATAACGTAATGTTAACCTAATGGCTTCTTTATATTCGGAGAGCCGCTGTGGTCTAGCAACTAGACGCTTGCCTGCGAATCTGAAGGTCGTGGGTTCGGGTCCAGATGGAGCCCTGACGTTTTTCAATAGTTCCCTTAGCTGCCAGGTCGACCCAGCCTTCACTGGACACCAGGTGTAGCCTTGGGAGGTCAAGGGGGCCGGCATTATGTTGGCCACATCACCCATCGAGTGACGATTGTCTATAAAATATGCCCAGTAACACAAAGGAGTACAAAAGGATCCTTGTACATACTCGAGGTAGTCGACTGATGATATAGGGCACCTAATTATCTGTCTCACAATACACACCTGTCCCATCTTGCAGCAAAAACAAACAAAACATCTATGTGACTACGTATTTGCTTTTTTGTGATATAAATGTCTACTTGTCTGGTTGTGAACATGACTATGTGAATATATGTCTGACAAGATACAATGTCTGTCTGTTTGTGAACATGACTATGTGAATATATGTGTGTCAAGATACAATGTCTGTCTGGTTGTAAACATGACTATGTGAATATATGTCTGACAAGATACAATGTCTGTCTGTTTGTAAACATGACTATGTGAATATATGTGTGACAAGATACAATGTCTGTCTGGTTGTGAACATGACTATGTGAATATATGTGGGACAAGATACAATGTCTGTCTGGTTGTAAACATGACTATGTGAATATATGTGTGACAAGATACAATGTCTGTCTGGTTGTGAACATGACTATGTGAATATATGTCGGACAAGATACAATGTCTGTCTGGTTGTGAACATGACTATGTGAATATATGTTGGACAAGATACAATGTCTGGTTGTGAACATGACTATGTGAATATATGTCGGACAAGATACAATGTCTGTCTGGTTGTGAACATGACTATGTGAATATATGTGTGTCAAGATACAATGTCTGTCTGGTTGTAAACATGACTATGTGAATATATGTGTGTCAAGATACAAAGTCTGTCTATTTGCATATCTGTGTACGCTTTCGAGAGTAATTTCCCTGCCACTCTTGCCCCCCAGTGTTCAACACCTTCCTACTGTCAGAGGTCCAGCTGCACTCCGGCAAGGAGAAACGGGAATTCTTTGAGACATTCCAGGTTAGTTGGTCCTTGTTCATACCATGGTGTCGGTTGTTTATTTTTTTTAAACTGCTATTTAGTATGTCAAAAACCCCAGGGCAAAGTTGCCTGTGGACTGAATGGCCGATGCCGACTTCTGTGCATGGCTGCGATAAGGGTAAGTCAACAGAGCCAACGTAAGGAGAAAATTGAAAACTGAGCCACTGATAACTAGGCAGATGACAAATGGAAAAAAACGGACCAAAACCAAACAAAACAAAAAACTGAACCTGGAGGACATAGTCTATACAACAGTCTAGAGTCAAACCAGCCAACAACTGACCCTGGAGGACATAGTCTATACAACAGTCTAGAGTCAAACCAGCCAACAACTGACCATGGAGGACATAGTCTATACAACAGTCTAGAGTCAAACCAGCCAACAACTGACCCTGGAGGACATAGGCTATACAACAGTCTACAGTCAAACCAGCCAACAACTGACCATGGAGGGCGTAGGCTATACAACAGTCTAGAGTCAAACCAGCCAATAACTGACCCTGGAGGACATAGGCTATACAACAGTCTACAGTCAAACCAGCCAACAACTGACCCTGGAGGACATAGTCTATACAACAGTCTAGAGTCAAACCAGCCAACAACTGACCCTGGAGGACATAGTCTATACAACAGTCTAGAGTCAAACCAGCCAACAACTGACCATGGAGGACCTAGGCTATACAACAGTCTAGAGTCAAACCAGCCAACAACTGACCATGGAGGGCATAGGCTATACAACAGTCTAGAGTCAAACCAGCCAACAACTGACCCTGGAGGACATAGTCTATACAACAGTCTAGAGTCAAACCAGCCAACAACTGGCCATGGAGGACCTAGGCTATACAACAGTCTAGAGTCAAACCAGCCAACAACTGACCATGGAGGGCATAGGCTATACAACAGTCTAGAGTCAAACCAGCCAACAACTGGCCATGGAGGACATAGGCTATACAACAGTCTAGAGTCAAACCAGCCAACAACTGACCATGGAGGACATAGGCTATACAACAGTCTAGAGTCAAACCAGCCAAGGAATGGTCCTTTTTTTTAGCCCTCCCAGCCTCCTCCTCACAGCAGCGGACAATCTCGCGGGTCTAGAGCGCAGCAAAGACGAGAAACCCAACGTAAGCCACGTGTTCCAGAGAACGAAACAAGAAAATCCGCAAGAACCGACGAACACAATTGTCACTGAAGCTCACAAGGAAGCAGGTTCAACATGCTATATGTTCAAATTATCTTCTGGACAGAAAGAAGGAAATAATGGTCTGCAAAACCACCTCTCGCATCGTACTCTATTCTTCTCTGAGTCTCAGTTGTTCGTGTTTCTGATGAGAAATCAAAGCCGTGTGGCATGATGTGATAACATCCCCATAGAATCAGATTTAGATTTGATGAGACATGAAAACGGTGGCATGATGTGTCAACATCACCATAAAATCATATTTAGACTTGATGAGAAATGAAAACGGTGGCATGATGTGATAACATCCCCATAGAATCAGGTATCGACTTATTGAGACAGGAAAACGGTGGCATGATGTGATAACATCCCCATAGAATCGGATTTAGATTTGATGAGACATGAAAACGGTGGCATGATGTGTCAACATTACCATAGAGTCAAATTTAAACTTGATAAGGTCTGGTGGTAGTAGCTTATTTAGCCTCTACCTGATTGCAGCACCCAGCCGATGTCGACTGGTCTATAACAAGAGTCTAGCAGTATATACCTTTTGTGTCAATGACGTGAGACAGGACAATAATTATGACAATTTGTTCTCCCTTACACTATGAAGAAATGTTTCCTATTGCCACAATACTTGTTTCAATTTTTTTCAGAAACCGTTTGAGAACTATCTATACAAAAATGGCGCCATGCCGTTCGTGGTCTGCTCGTATGGGTCCTTTGACCGGAAGAGCTTGAGACGTCACAACTACGATCCCGCAGCCATAGTCACGTGCCATCTGTTCCAAGGACTGGACCACCTCAACTGGATCAGTGGTGATGGTCAGTTTCTCCTCTGACTGTTTATTTAGAGCTGTATTCTTTTTTTAATTTTATTAATTTATTTCTGTTAGGTATGTCAAAGCTATAGCCCATCAAAGATGCAAACCGCGAGAGAGATAATGTCCAGAGAGACCTGCAAACACTTAGTTTCACCAACTGGGAAGAGAAGGTCTACCCGACAGATGAATGGAGGCGGGTGATATCTGCAGCAATGAACTTCAAGGGCTTGAAATGCTAAAGAAGGCCAACCAGAGAGATGATAGAGGCGGGTGATATCTGCAGCAATGAACCTCAAGGACTCAAAATGCTGAAGAAGAAAAAGAAGAAGTTGAAGCCATAGTTGTTTAATACATTTCATAAAATAAACATTTGGATTTCTAGAATTAGGATGACTCTGTGACTTTCCATTTGTTGATGGGGACAATAATAATTTTGATGCTTGGAGTGACTGCACAATCTGAACAGCTCATTTAAAGTGATTGCACAATCTGAACAACTCATTAAAAGTGATGCACAATCTCAACAACTCAGTAAAACTGACTGCAAAACCTGAAAAATTCGCTTAAAGTAATTTAACAGTTTGTTCAAGCAGCCACAGTCAATGAATACTGTTCTGTATCAAATGTTATACACCAGATTAATGTTCTACTGTTGATAAGTTTTTTACTGTTGATGAATGTTGTACTGTAGAAAAATGTTCTACTGTCCACTAAGACATGCTTGGATTGCTCTCCCGCAGAAACTTACTCCAAGTTCCGAAGTCTGCACAACCAGATGGCAACAGAGAAGTGCTCCATCTTCAGCCTCTCCAAAGACATCTAACTAGACAGAATTACTGTGTGTCTGCTGGCTGATATCTGCTCCACTGTATCACTGTAAACTCTCCAAAGACATCTAACTAGACAGAATTACTGTGTGTCTGCTGGCTGATATCTGCTCCACTGTATCACTGTAAACTCTCCAAAGACATCTAACTAGACAGAATTACTGTGTGTCTGCTGGCTGATATCTGCTCCACTGTATCACTGTAAACTCTCCAAAGACATCTAACTAGACAGAATTACTGTGTGTCTGCTGGCTGATATCTGCTCCACTGTATCACTGTAAACTCTCCAAAGACATCTAACTAGACAGAATTACTGTGTGTCTGCTGGCTGATATCTGCTCCACTGTATCACTGTAAACTCTCCAAAGACATCTAACTAGACAGAATTACTGTGTGTCTGCTGGCTGATATCTGCTCCACTGTATCACTGTAAACTCTCCAAAGACATCTAACTAGACAGAATTACTGTGTGTCTGCTGGCTGATATCTGCTCCACTGTATCACTGTAAACTCTCCAAAGACATCTAACTAGACAGAATTACTGTGTGTCTGCTGGCTGATATCTGATCCACTGTATCACTGTAAAAACTCTCCAAAGACATCTAACTAGACAGAATTACTGTGTGTCTGCTGGCTGATATCTGCTCCACTGTATCACTGTAAACTCTCCAAAGACATCTAACTAGACAGAATTACTGTGTGTCTGCTGGCTGATATCTGCTCCACTGTATCACTGTAAACTCTCCAAAGACATCTAACTAGACAGAATTACTGTGTGTCTGCTGGCTGATATCTGCTCCACTGTATCACTGTAAACTCTCCAAAGACATCTAACTAGACAGAATTACTGTGTGTGTGCTGGCTGATATCTGCTCCACTGTATCACTGTAAACTTGACAGGAATTCACCACACTATCTATCCATCATTCTGTACCTCGGTCTGGCTTTCAATGCAACCCTAACTTTATAGCTTGTGTCTCAGTGACGAAGGCCCCTCGCTGCAGAAGCAACTGAACTGAAACACATGACCACTAGACAGCCCTAAAATAAGAAGGTGTAATTGTCAGCCAGGTATATCTTACATTTTGAATCTACAACTAAGGAATGCGGACATATTTTAGTTCAAAACTGAAATAGGGATGCAGTATGTTGTATGGCCTAGTTCTGGCGTGCCGAAACACATTAGTCAACACAGACACCATTTCCTAAAAATTAAATTCTATTTTAACAACATTGACTGCGTTGTTTATTTAGTCAGCGTTGTTTATTTAGTCAGCGTTGTTTAGTCAGTCAGCGTTGTTTAGTCAGTCAGTGTTGTTTAGTCAGTCAGCGTTGCTTAATCAGTCAGCGTTGTTTATTTAGTCAGCGTTGTTTAGTCAGTCAGTGTTGTTTATTCAGTCAGCGTTGTTTATTCAGTGAGCGTTGTTTATTCAGTCAGCGTTGTTTATTCAGTCAGCGTTGTTTATTCAGTCAGCGTTGTTTATTCAGTCAGCGTTGTTTATTCAGTCAGCGTTGTTTATTCAGTCAGCGTTGTTTATTCAGTCAGCGTTGTTTATTCAGTCAGCGTTGTTTATTCAGTCAGCGTTGTTTATTCAGTCAGCATTGTTTATTCAGTCAGCGTTGTTTATTCAGTCAGCGTTGTTTATTCAGTCAGCGTTGTTTATTCAGTCAGCGTTGTTTATTCAGTCAGCGTTGTTTATTCAGTCAGCGTGGTTTATTCAGTCAGCGTTGTTTATTCAGTCAGCGTTGTTTATTCAGTCAGCGTTGTTTATTCAGTCAGCGTTGTTTATTCAGTCAGCGTGGTTTATTCAGTCAGCGTTAATCACTTTAGTTTGGCTACCATGTGTCTCCAGAAATACATCTCCCTGTGATAGCAAACTCTTTCAGCCACTGACCATCCAACTTTCCACTTGTATCAAGAGTTCCAGTTTATGGAAATGAAAGAGCTGACAAACTAGCTAAGGAAGGTATGAATATTGATCAATCTGACGTACCAGTCTCTTATCAACACAAGAAGAGAATAATCAAATCAATCAGAAAGCCACTGAAGCTGACACAAGACGATTACCAAAAAATGGACAGACAAGAGCAAGTCCTTAATCTGCACCTTAGAACAGAACAAAATCGACTTTGCAGCCATATATACACACAATTTTAGATTGGTGAATCAGACATGTGTGCATGCGGATTGACGCCAGAGACAACAGATCACGTCCTCCAAGACTGTCCCAAATAAAATATATCAAGGCAAAACTGTTGGCCGAGAGAAACATTGGAGCAAGTGAAACTTTGCGGGCCGCTGAGCAGAGACAACACTGCAGATATAGATAATCTATTTCAACCGAACGAAGGAAGAAGAAGAATTGCACACTGTGTTGCCTTGAATATGATGCTCTAACTGGTCGTGTCTGTCAGAAATACGGAGATATTTGCCACCAGTAAATTGTGCACTATGTTGTATGTGTAGGCGACTCCTTCGCCATCATTACTACCACCACCACCACTACCACTACTACTATTATTATTAACCTTACCACGTCAGTTACTAAAACAACCTCCCTCAGCACCAATACCACAGCCATTACGACCACCAGCACCATCGCTCTGCTACTGCTACAACAATAACTACAACAACCATTGCTTCTACTACTACTACTACTACAGCCACCACCACACAACTACAACTTTTTTGTTTTGTTACTGCTGCAGCAAACACCAACACAACAACAACTGTCACCACCATCAATACTACCGCTACTTCAATCCCTTCTACTGCCACCTCCCTCCCCTCCCGGCTACTGCTAACACTATTACTAGAACAACTCTACCTTTACTTCTATTACCACTGAAACTAGCAATACTGCTGCTACTACTGCTACTACTACTACTACTACTACTACTACTACTACTACTGCTACTACTACTACTACTGCTACTACTACTACTACTACTATACTACTACTACTACTACTACTACTACGACTACTAATACTGTTACTACTACTTTTACTACTACTATTACTACTACTACTACTGTTACTACTACTACTACTACTACTACTACTACTACTACTGTTACTACTACTACTAGTACTACTACTACTACTACTGTTACTACTACCTCTTCTACTACTATTACTACTACTACTACTACTACTACTACTATTACTACTGCTACCACTACTACTATTACTACTACTACTGTTACTACTACTTCTTCTACTACTATTACTACTACTACTACTACTACTACTACTACTACTACTACTACTACTACTTCTTCTACTACTACTACTACTACTACTACTACTACTACTACTACTACTACTACTACTATTACTACTACTACTGTTACTACTACTACTGTTACTACTACTACTACTACTACTACTACTACTACTACTACTACTACTACTACTACTACTACTACTACTATTACTACTACTACTGTTACTACTACTACTACTGTTACTACTACTACTACTACTACTACTACTACTACTACTACTACTACTACTACTACTACTACTACTACTACTACTACTACTACTACTACTGCAACAGCGAAGTTGACTACTAGAACAACAATCAAGTAATGACAGTGAATGACTTCAAAAACAGAAAGTCCAAAATGGAAGTGGTCAGACAAGACCACTTTACTGGAAGCCAAAGAAGATCAGAAACCAAGACAAGACTGGTGCTGTCAGCTGCTATGCGCTGCCAGATCTACTGAGAAGGGGATCCGAGCACTTATGGACTGAACTGTTCCATGTGCAGTGAGGATAACATGTCTACTCTGCCATGCTCTGGCGGGAAGTTTTCATAGTTCGTCCACCTGTAGACTTTCATTTTATACCAGAACCTGAGTGCCACGTGCACAACCGTTTTACGGATCTGGCTGTTTGTTTGATTGTAGACTGTTGGTTCCTTGCCTCTTGGATAGATGTGTTCTGACTTCGAAGAAAGCCCTAGTTAAACTACTCATTTGACATGTTTTCGGTGGAAAAGGGGAGGGGGCGGAAGGACTGATTGTCCACTAACTAACTTGGGACACAGATGTATTCTAGCAGTCTTGCCTACTTGTAAGACATCCACATGACCAGCTACTATGTAAGGAGACAAACCTATAAATGCCTAGTCTTTCTCATGAGATCCTGGTGTATATGTGTGAAAGCTATCTCCAGACCCCAATGAATAAGCACACTGAAAAACCTCTACCCTCTCCAGGGTGTACCAGTGTGCTGGCTACACCACTTGTGGCTCACTGATGCATCACAGGCTAGATGTTGCCAGGCCCAATGGGAACGAGTGAGAAGGTAGAACAAACAGAGACAATAGTACAGCGGGGGGTGACTAGGAAATCTGGCCAATGGTCAACACTCTGAGGAAAGGTAAGACGGACATACCATCAGAGTGCCCCTAAAAGTTTCATAATTTGAACTCTGTACTCGAACACTACTAAACACCAGCCAGACAATCACAGTTAGAATTTGAACTCTGTACTCGAACACCACTAAACACCAGCCAGACAATCACAGAATTTCGAGAGCAAGTATCTTCCCTGTAGCAACATATAGATAAGTCATGGATTATCTTCCCTGGAGTCGTGGACTATCTCTCAGTCCTTAAAGACCAGAAAATAGGAGCGTTTGAGCTGAACTGTATAGCAAACTCAAAACACAAAGAAAATAAATATTGACATTCTAAGGGATCTTATCATCAAGGAAGATTGTCTAATAAACAGTTTCTTGTCTCGAAAGCTGAAATTTGTTTGGACATTATGAAGCGCCATAGCAAAAAAAAAAAAAAAAACCATTAGCAAAAGTCATGGTACCAGGAAGGAGGGGCAGGGGCCGACTAACACGAAGATGGGTACAGGATAAAAGTGACTCCTTGAATATGAAAATACGCGAGGCGGGAGAACTAACGAGTGACTGAGTTGTCAGACTAGCTGCTGAAGATGAGGACAAAGGGCTTACGGAATTTTCCCGGGTGC